TATATATATATAAAGGACCAATAGGACAACCAGGACTTGTTGGGCCGCCAGGTCCCCCTGGACCTACTGGACCTTTAGGAAAGATAGGGTTTTCTGGAAAACCTGGTCCCGTAGGACCTAGAGGTAAGAACTATCTCTTTACCTTGACTGGGAATATTAAAACAAATATTGAGCTTATTGAGCTCCCCTGCTTACTCTACAGGACCTCAAGGGCTGCAAGGCCTAACAGGTGAAAGAGGCCTTCCTGGGCCACCTGGACCCCCAGGGCCTTTCTCCATCAGGGGAGATGTTTTCACTCTAACGGCTAAACAACATGCCCAATGTGAGTACAATAGTCCACATTAAACATGCTGTTTTATCACGTTAATTAATTTATGGCATTAAAATAATGCATAACTAAATGAAAAATGAAATGAACATATCAAATGCTTAAATTATTGTTATATCCAGTCTTTGCAAAAACTGCAGCAACTTGCTATTCTCAACTTGACCATAAGATGACAGCATTCGCACAGTATCAGCTTAAATTAACCTCTCGGAGATCTGGCTCAGTTTAAGAGTCTGGTTGGTTTCTGTCTGTCAGCAGTTAATCAGAGTCATTTGTTAGCTGTCTGTGAAGCAGCATGAATCTGGATAACCCAAAGCAGAACCTGAGCACCAAATCCTACTGAACAGAACAGCAGTACAGCTGCACAAGTTACAATTTTAATAGTACATCTGATTTGTTTTCACCTCAGTATGATCATATCTTACATGTTGCAGATGAAGATAGTGACTTAGCTGCCTATCGTGACCTGCAGGCTTTTCTTGGTCCTCCTGGGCCCTCCGGCCCTCCTGGTCCACCAGGTATGCTAGAATATCAGAGCATACATAACAGCATCAACTTGTACTGCCCATCCATTTCTTCACACACTTAATCTTCTATCTGAACAGGGCCTGCCGGACCACCTGGACACCCAGGTGCACCAGGGAAAAATGTAAGTCATCTATCTATCTATCTATCTATCTATCTATCTATCTATCTATCTGTCTATCTGTCTATCTGTCTGTCTGTCTGTCTGTCTGATGTGCTCTATGCTATGCATTTACAGTATGTATAAATAATTGGACAATATGTATAGATGTACAAGGCACAGTATACCAATTAATTCACATTTATCATAGGCTGCCTTAAGCTTTTCAGGCACACCAGGTGACAGGGGACCCAAAGGAGATCCAGGAGAAAGAGTAAGCCATCGAAGACCTACATTTGTGACCCTGGACCACAAAACCTGTCATAAGTCGCTGGGGTATATTTGTAGCAATAGCCAACAATACATTGTATGGGTCAAATGATCGATTTTTCTTTTATGCCAAAAATCATTAGGATATTAAATAAAGATCATGTTCCATGAAGATATTTTGTAAATTTCCTACCGTAAATATATCAAAACTTAATTTTTGATTAGTAATATGCATTGCTTTTTTGGACACCTTTAAAGGTGATTTTCTCAATATTGTGATTTTTTGCACCCTCAGATTTTCAAATAGTTGTATCTCAGCCAAACCATACATCAATGGAAAGCTTATTTATTCAGCTTTCAGATGATGTATAAATCTCAATTTCGAAAAATTGACCCTTATGAGGTTTTGTGGTCCAAAATTTTTATTTGAGCTAATTCGACTACATTACTCTATTTTCAAAGGGTCCACCTGGAATAACAGGAAAGCAAGGACAGCCTGTGAGTGCACATAGTGGATTGCATTTCTATTTTCACAGTTCATTCATTCATTTATTTGCTTGTTTTATTTACCAATTATTATCATAATTTTTTTTTCATATCATTATTTTATTATCACATATATATATATATATATATATATATATATATATATAAGGTTTGTATAGCTGAGAAGTGCATCTCAAATGTGAACCAAATGAATGCATTTATATTCTAAATCAATTTTTATAATTGAGGTTATATATTTATTTGTAAATGTATTATTATAAAATTCACTTTATTCTTATTTTCTTATGTTGTGAATAGGGTGTTCCGGGTCCTAAAGGTGAGCCGGGAGAGACACCATCAGAGGTAAGGCTGGTGCCCAAACAATTGGGATTGTTTTGGAGTTTTTGATTGACATGCTAAAGCCCACCTTCTTCCAGGTGCAGCAGTTGAGGGAAGCGCTGAAGATTCTGGCCGAGAGGGTTCTCATTCTAGAACACATGATCGGCATTCATGGTGAGAATTATGGATTAATATTAATCTAGATTTCCAGTTATACTGGAGAGCGGTTGGATTCCAGAGCACCATTATGATCTCATGGCATAAGCAATTGCTGCCAGAGAGGTTAGCGTGTGTTGCAAATATTTAGTAATGACTTTGAGGTTTCATGGGGATTGATTGCTTTTAAGAATGCAAAATGACATCAGAGGACTAGAAATATACAGCCAACTGCTTGTATTTAGGTTCTGCAACAAATTTCCCTTTATTTTTGTTTCTTTCCTGTCGTCGCTCTGCCCAGACACTCTGTTGGACTCCGGTTCTGGAATAGATCTCCTGGCGGACTTCATGCTAATAGGCAGTGCTAAAAATGTTGGGGCCGCCAAACCCTCTTCTCCTCTTACCTCAGACAGAGAGTAGCCGGACTCTGTTGGGTATGGAGAGTAAATAACAAACACTTGTGACCACAAGGCCTTTATCTCCTGTTTGTTACTTTGAAGGACATATCCCTCAATGTATTTGTTTATGAGTATGATAAGAGTGGCACTGATCTTTTCTATTTTATTTACTTCTATTTTATGTTCAGTTTTTTCTACATTTTGCAATCACTGTATTTACCTGTCAAAAATATGTTTTTATTGCCATTCACAACCCGTTTTACTTCCACAATGTGATGTATTTCAAGGGCTGGCCTTTATTTTAGCCATTAGGAAATGATTGGATGGTGAAAAGTGGGCGTTACTTACCAGAACGAAATCGGACTGAATGTGATTTTGCTAAAGTTATGAAAATCTGTCTTTCAACTCGGAAGTGTCTATTTACTGTAGTTCATTTCTTTTATTATTGTAAAAGTGAGGATTTTGGATGGGCAGGATGTCTGGGTTAATTAATCAACAAAGATGATACTTGATTATACAAAAAAGCATTCTTGACACTATTCACTTCTTAATGGTTTTTATGTGGCATGAATAATGATTTAATACCGCAGACATTCAAGCTGAAAATAAATGTTTTATCATAAAGACTTCGATCCAGAAAACAAAAAAGGCCCCATTTATCATGTCATTTCCTTTTTGTTTTCTGATTGATGACCTATAATGACCTCATGCACATAATTATATATAGCAGCCTTTGTATAAAAACAATTCCCGTCTCAAAACTCACAGCAAGCAAAAAATAGACTGGAATAGAACTTTAAAACCAAATTCAACCCTTTGTCTGCATAAAAAGTGCAACGTCTACCACAATAAATTGCGTTTACACCTCTGCTCACCTGTTTGTATTCATAAAGCCTATCATTGACTCGCTGAAAACCCAAAATGGCAGAACACACCAAGGGCTGCTATTAATAGGGCTGCAGTGAATAGCCGGAGAGACACAAAAGGCCCTGTTGACCTTGTTCGCAGAGCACCGTTCAACATGCCAGTGTGGCTTTAAGCTTATTGTTGCGCTTGAGCTTTTGTAATCCCCTCGGGAGGGAACGAAATCTTTCCGAATCTTGGGCTTTTTCTTGTTGTTGTGTTAAGAAAGAAGAAGTGTCTGAAGTGTTTGTTGAAAGGTTTCCCACCTTTCCAGAGCCAAAACCTGATTGCTAGTATTTTGCTTTGACTTTTTGATTTATTTCTTTTTTTAAATAAAAGTTATGGGGAAAATATTTATTTATTTAAAAATCTAATATTATCTGAGCAAGTTAAAACAGTTTATTGCAATAACAACTGTAACTAGACTTGATTTTTTTTATCTCTTTATTGACAAAAGGTGGGAACAGAGCTTAAGGAGAAGACAACACACAAATGGACATGAACAAACATGGAGAAACATGGGAAATGTAGTTTTTACTCCTGTTCCTTATCCTCTCCGTGGGTGATGACGTAGCACAGGTTTTTGTAGTCCAGGTTGCCAGCCACATCCAATGGGAAATTTGTGAACATCTGGTTTACCTAGGTAAATTTTGAAAAATCATGATTAAAATCCATTGAACAATTGTTATATATTTTGATATCAAATAGTACAGTTTAATGATTTTAAATTATTTATTTTAAAATTAAATATTAGATTTAAATTTTGAACTGGCACTGTAGTACCTCAGCCTCGGTAAATTTGTCTGCCTGGGACATAAGGTGATATTTAATCCTGTGAGGAGAAACAAAAGAAATATATTAAATGCTGTGCATTTCAATGAGACTGCTTCCAGTCAAAAGTCGCTGGTGTGCTGAAACATTTTTACATTTGCATAAATCTACTAACTCTTCTCCTTTAAGGATTCCTGTGCCCTCTGGGTCGAAGATCTTAAAGGCATTGAGAATAGTCTCTTCGGGGTCTGTACCTGTCAGTTACAGAAAGGTAACAGATTATTGATTAGTCTGTAATTATATACTCGAATACATGTTAATTAACAAATATATAAGTCATTTCTGGGGGACGTTGCATTCAAAATCCAGGCTTCTGATGCTGAACTATATGATACATATATCAGTATGCAGTGTGCCTGATATCTGCAGCTGTTTGCACCTCATTAGCATGATTATCATTTCAATTCTGATAAATCTGATCCTTGCCTTTGAGCTTCTCTCCAAACATGGTGAGGAAGACGGTGAAGTTAATAGGGCCGGAGGCTTCCTTTTGCATTTCATCAAGCTCATCGTTGCCAACGTTGAGACGTCCTGCCAAACATGCACATACAGAGATATACATTAATAAAGAGCGCCACTTCCTCTGATAGTTCAAATGGAGTGAGAGTGAACTGGAATGCTCGTAGATGCTCAATGCAATTAAATAGTTATGATACTAGATTGATTACGAGGCCACACTGAAAGTCAGTTTTTATATTATATATAAAACCTTTTATATTTAAACCTGAAAATAAAAGGGAGGCGGTGAAGTTAATAGGGCCGGAGGCTTCCTTTTGCATTTCATCAAGCTCATCGTTGCCAACGTTGAGACGTCCTGCCAAACATGCACATACAGAGATATACATTAATACAGAGCGCCACTTCCTCTGATAGTTCAAATGGAGTGAGAGTGAACTGGAATGCTCGTAGATGCTCAATGCAATTAAATAGTTATGATACCAGATTGATTACGAGGCCACACTGAAAGTCAGTTTTTATATTATATATATAAAACCTGAAAATAAAAGGGAGGTTTTAGGATTTTGAAAATAAAAATAAAATAAATAAATAAATACAATTTTAAACCTTTTCTAAAATTGTTACGTTTATATATTTAAAAAAAAGAAAAAGAAAAAAGAAAAATAAAGCATTTTTACTAGTTGTCTCAGATTTTTGGACCCTGCTATATATGCATTTATCAAAACTTTAATAGCATGATGACATTTGCATCTAAATCTGGAACAAACATAGTGTTGTAATCGCATTTAGGCTTCACAGCATTCAGTAGGGGTCTAAAGAGAGGCCACTGTAATCCTTAAAACAATACTCTTGTTAGTTCAATAGGATAAACGCCTTTAAGTAACGGAGACCTAGCTTCAGAGTCTCCAGTATTTACACTGTATATAGTCATTCAGTGAGGCTTCACTCACCCAAAGCAGCAAATGTGTCCCTCAGGTCGTTTTTGTCAATAAAGCCATCTCTGTTCTGGTCCATGATGGTGAAAGCCTGGAGGAGCATTCAGATTTGCAGAGGTAAGTACCTAAAAATATGCTAGAATAAAATGTTTAGGTATAAGTGAATCCTAGAAATGACCAACCTCTTTGAACTCCTGGATCTGTGACTGCTCAAACATGCTAAAAACGTTGGAGCTGCCAGCTTCCTTCTTCTTGGCCTTCTTTGGTGCCTGAAAATCAAGCAAAAGTGGTTTAGATGATTTTCTTTCCAGCCTTATGCTTTTTAAATGCAATTTTGAAGCACATAAAACTTTAAAATTAATGCAGAAATTACATGGCCCTCTAAGACGTTTGTGCCATTTTAACCACTATGGCACAAAATCGAAGTTGAGAACTCTCAAAAAGTGGCCCGATTCAAGTACATCACAAATTTAGTTGCATTTAGTTAACACAAAATGGAACAGACAATGATATTCACTCAGTGAAAACCTTACTAAAATTAAAACAAAGTTGCTCTCATCACAAAGATCAAGGTACATGGAAGCGAAACTAATAAAAATTGTCTAATTTTAAAGATACAAATATATAAATCCATCCATAGAAGATGTACTTTTTAACATAAAATAATACATTCTCTCAGTCTGAAGAACAACACCGTTCACTTGCACCAGCATTTCCATGTTAAAGAGTCCAAAAGCAAAGAGACGCAGGCCTACCATTGTGAAGAGCTTCTCTTTACTCTGTTCTTGGTCTCAAAAGCCTGAGGGACACTCAGACATCGTTGGTTTCCAGCTATATATTGGCACAATTGGCTTGACGGCCCACCTGTTCTAAGTTTAGACAAAAGAGGAGGAACAATACAAGAATACTTGCCATATAGAGAATCACCCAGCCCTTGCACCCCCCAGTTATTGGTACAGACAGTTGCTAGGTGAGGCTTAGGACCACAAGGCTCCATCCAGTGCAAAAAGTTTCAGACATTCTGGATGGATGCTAAAACTAGTGTAACAGATAACAGAAATGTAATATATATGATATATGATATATTGCCCTGTACCAAGAGTGATATTGCTATAGGTTATAGGTTACCTATAAGGTAATATATAATTTTCACATACATACATTCTCTGGGTAGATGAAGATAGTTAACATATAAAATCCTCATAGTCAAATTATGTTAATAATATATATATGATGATTTTTATATAGTATTATGTGTACCAATCATAAATATCAACAATATATGCTTTTATTTATATATGCAACTTTATTAAAACAACATATATGCAAAAAAATAAAAATAATAATAATAAAAAAAAAACAAATCTGTATGTTTATATATACCCTTTCTGTAATATACATAACATACATAAACATACATATTTGTATGGGATACAAAATGAAATTGCAATTTTTAATAGGTTTCATGTATGTAATTTATAATTTTTTTGTGTTTCATTTTGGACAGTTTGCATGGGTGAGACTGGGGCTAGTTGTCACACTCCGATTAATATTTCTTAGTTGTATTTTTAAAAAAAATAGCTACATCAAAATGTTGCTATATATTTATAATAAATTTTTTTTTTTTTCAATTATTCAACCATTATTGCCCAGGAATAAAGATACAGTCCATTAAACACATGCTGACCTTTCGTGACAACATGCCCCAGTGGTGGAGTAATATATTGTCACACTATATAGTAAGCTGTCACAATGAGAAACTGCTGTTACATGGCTAATTGATTATTGCATCATTACAATGACATATTTTCATTTAATATATAATTGCAATGAAAATACATGTGTATGCAAGCAACACCAAAACATATGTGAGGCTGGACTTCTCTCTCAAAACTTTTATTTATGAAGAAGGTTGTGAATTCTAATTGATTGATCTGTATGTACAGTGCAAAACGATTGCACATTATTGGAACATACACATATGGCACTCGTCCATTTGAATGCAGTCGTCTTAACATGTGAGCGCAGTCAAGCCCTTGGCTTTAATTTGCCATGCAACTCTTATGAACAAATTGTTTCCACTTTGTCTCCCATTATCTGTTGCGAACAATCGGACTGAACAAAAGCCATTCTCAGCACTACAAATATAGCCAGTCATCCCATGCTTGCCAGATTTAAATGTGCTCTTACAAACAGCCAAGGAATGTGCCGTCAGACTGCCGTAAATATGTCCAGCTATCCGGCACGGCAGCAGGCTGTGTAAAGCTTGTTTTAGCAGTGTCCTCACAGACAACTGAACAAACACTGACCAAAAGAGCTGTGGAGAAGAACTGCACCATGGGATGTCTGGAATGTCACTGTGATCTCCTGCTTGGCATTGTGCATGTGTGTGTGTGTGTGTGTGTGTGTGGTCACGACAGGGAGCGTGCCCATGTTAGGTGTGTGACTGGCAGGTGGGGGGCGAGAAGGAGTCAAGGTCTGCTTATGTGTGCTAGCAATAACACAACTGATGGGGAGCCTGGCGGGGAAGTGTCAGCTTCCTACAGCTGCTTCTTACTGTCAATCACATTAGCCATATGGTTCCATCACACCTCGACAGGCATGTAAATGCATGCTGCTTTATATGTCAACACAGAGATGTTGATACACTGCCATCGATCTCTTTATTTTTAGTCATATTTGATGTTCCTCTCACTGTTCTTTATGGTAAAGTGAGGTAATTGGACCACGTTTTGATCTCTCTGGTAAAATGTCTATGGACATATATCTGTGAATTTCTAAATGGTTTGTGTGTGTGTGTGTGTGTGTGTGTCAGGCCTGTTCTTTTACTAAAAATAAACAAATATGAAGGATCAAGTACTCAAGACTTTTTAAAATGACAATATTACAATAAATTTAGTGTTCATTTGCATGTATGTGTTTGAGTGTGTTTTAGTATTATTGTAGTATCACTGATATACTATCAGTTTTTGTTAATATTTAGAATTGTATGTAGATTTTTAAAAAGATTTTTTTACATTTAGATTGTAATTGTATATTTTCTGATTTCATTTAAATTTTTGTTAAAGTTTGTTGTGTGTTTTTGTGATTTTTGTCATTTTTAATGTCTATATTTGTGATTTTTTTATCATTTTTTAATGTCTATATAGTTTATTAAATTTTAGCTTTCAGTTTTAATCAATTTAGTTTTAATTATTTTAGTACTTTAACTTAAACTAAACAACTAGCTGATATATGTAATACGTAATTAAATACATCATTATCATTATATATATATATATATATAACAGTGCAGTTCTATTTGTGTAGTGTAGTTTTATTTATCCGTTTATTTTTACTTCTTTTTTTGCAGCAAATATTTATATATTGTCAAGTAATAATATAGATAATATGAAATGAAAAATATACATAATATATGTGTATAGTTTATATTTTGTTTGAAGTATCTGTCTTAAAAATATGATAACAGTATTCAGTTGTAGTTAGTTTGCCTGCAGATGGAGCAGTTTACCCAGTTGTACAAGTTTTTATAATCCTCCACTACAAAATATATTACCTGCACAACTATAGTTCGAACGTCATAGACTTACAGATTACACAATGCGCAAGCAATTTACATTTCAAATGTTGTATTTATGGTAAAGATTTATTGTTTATGACTAAATATCAGACACCTGTCCACTGCTCAGGTGTGCATGTGGAAACAGTCATGCACACACATCCCCAGAACAATGCCCTCCTCACATCTCTGCTTGTCTCTTCATTATGTTCATTTGCCATGTCTTTGCATCTCCATAATTAAAATCTAATCCTGCATGCCGACTTTTTAAACGAGGACTAGCCTCAAGAGGAGGCTTATTTGATTAAAAAAGGGGAAGGGAAACCGCCAGTGGGACCGGCTCTGCTGCGCAGCTCCCCTGGTGTCTCAGTGAGGGGAACCGAGGGGAGGAGCACTTATGAGGAGCCACGGGACTTTCCCAGCTTCCAATTCTCACTCCACCCTGCGGGGTCTGAACTGAACCCCCCATCCTCTCTCTTTAAGTGTCTGTGTGCGGTGGTGAGGGTGAGAATCAGGGCTGCTCTACAGATGAACCAAACTCATGGAACTGGTGACTCAGGAATCTGGTGGTATAAATTAAGGTTAAAATGATCATTGTTGACTTTCTTACATAAATTCTGGTGTACTTATACATACTCTTTTTTTTGCATGGTACCACAAAATGTATTTAGATAAAAAATGAAAAAAAAAAAAAAAAGTTTTTATCTCTTTTTCTAATAAGATTAGATATATGTTTTTCTATTATTGTATTTAACTGTATTGTTTTTCTTTTCTTTTGTATTTTTGTACTATATTGTATAGTACAGCACTTTGGTACAATCTGCGGTTTTATTATTTAACACAATTCTTATTTAAATGTTGTTTTACTGTTTAAGCACATGTTAGATGCCAACTGTATTTTATTTGTTGTGGACTTTGCACGATGACAATAAAGTTGAATTACAATCAAAGTGGTCAAAGTGACAACCTGCATTGAAATTGAGTTGAAAGCTTATAAAAGCAAGTAGAAATGACCAATATTATTATTGTGACAAGTAAATGGATGGGAAAATTGATGGTTTCTATACATTGTTTCCACCATTTTTGACAGTGTATTAAGCGTATTACCTTTAAACGATAAAAGAGCAAAAGAATCACTACAGAATATTAACTTTGGACGAACACACATATATGAGAGAGTTAAAGAACATCTAATATTAATATTTTATTATATATGTGTTTGTGTGCACAGTTCACACACACACACACAAACACACACACAATGCAAAAATAATCATATTTAGTTTTACTAAATAAGTAATGTATTTTGAAATTAGCATAATCAGTTTCATGATTTAACATCACTAATTGTATGTATGTATGTATGCATGCATGTATATATATATATATATATATATATAATTATTTAATATATATAAAATGATATTAAGCTATTAAATTATTTTAGAATTGTAATTCTAATTTTGTTTAATTATTAAAAAAATTATATACAGTATATATATAATTATTTAATATATATTAAATTATACTGAGCTATTAAATTATTTTAGAATTGTAATTCTAAATTATTTTAATGATTAAAAACATTATATACAATATATATATATATATATATATATA